GCGCCTTCCATCGGTGCCAGTGCGCCCAGTGTCCCTGCGACCGGCCCGGGTTCGGCAGCGCAGGCTGACCATGCATCACCGTCGCGGCTACAGTCGTCAGCTCTGAGCCCGGGAACGCTGAAAGGCAAGGGCGAACCTGGAGGTCAGACGAGCGACCTGGACGTCAGCAAGACCGCTTCAGCGGCTGAAAAGGCGCTTCACACGCTCGAAAACGGTCTCAACGGTGTCTCGCAGCCCGAGCACGGCGAAGGGGACGCTGAACGCCGCAGCGCTTCTCCCGTCAAGGTTGTTGAGCTGCCACCGACGCATGTCGAGACCTCGTAGCTTGGCGGCCGCGTCAACATCGACGTTCCTGCAGTTTGACCCGCCACCGCGATCAATTGGAGTGTCTTGGATCTGGCTTGCTCTGACGAATGGGATAGCCTGTTTTCGCGTGTGATAAGGTTGGTGAGAATCGCTCCGAGAGGCTAATGCTGCCGACGGGCTGGCAGCAGGGTGGTGTTTGCGGAGGTGTGCGAGCCAGCTGCGTTTAGGCACGGTTGCCTCGAAAGCTCGGCAGGCACAGCGAGTAAGCTCGGCAGCGTATCGACGTCGCCTTTGCGCGACGACAGCCTCGTGCAACATGAAAGACCGCAACAGCAGGCAAGGGCGAGCTCGTGTGATATCGTACGATTGCAGCAGCGTCGGAGACGATCGAGTGCCAGCAGGACTCGATGCCAGCACGAAGACAGCCTTGACTCGAATCGCAGCTGGAGGGAGGCATGAGGCTGAACCGAAGCTCGACGATCCGCACAGGCTGATGACGAGACACCCAAGGTTGACGAAAGACGCTCGTGTGGTGCGGCAAACAGCATGGCAGAGCGAGCCAAGTCAAATTGGCAAAATTGGCCCCACTAACCGCGCGTTTGCGTTTGCGTTTAGCTCGTCCGTTGGAGCGCGGAGGTGGCAGCCAAGTCGCCGCCCTCGACCCTCAGAGACGAGGGACCAGGACGAAGAAGCGCTTTACTCACAGTGTCGCTCGAAGATGATCCATTTCCAAGCGGGGGGGACGAAAGCCGCTCTAGCGTGACAATGGGACTTCTGCAGACCAGTCCGGTCGGCTGTCGAGTTCCGGGTATCCCGAAAGACGAGCCAGCGGCTGTGCCCGTCCAGGACCCTGTTGTTCCAACGCCCCGACTCAGCCAAAGCCAGAAGCCCGTGTCTCGACCGGCGTCCGCCAAGTGGGAGCTCATAGCGATCGAAGACAACCGGCAAAGATAACAGCATCCCTCAGCTCTTCGGCAACTTTCGCCAGGCCAAACCTTACTCATCGTTTCGGTTTGAGCCCGCCGACAACCTCTCCATTTGTAGCAACACGAGCTAAGTCACACGGTCCCGACCTCCAAAATCCAATCGATGTGCGGCGACCAGAGCCAGGCTAGCCGACAGTCGAGAGTCGCGTGAAGCGAAACGCGCGTGTCGACGGTAGGTGCGACTTCTTCGGGGGCGTTCCTGTTCTTCGGATAGACTTGCCAAGGTCGGAACAGCCGATGTCACCCACGCCTTCTGCTCCCGGCGCTTTGGCTGGCCCAGCCGAGGACGACCTCGATCTAGCTGATGCTCAGCTTCCGAAGTGGCAACATGCGCCGCTGCAAAGATTCCGCTGCGAAGATTGCGTTGCGAAGATTGCGTCGCGAAGATTGCGATGCGAAGATTGCGTCGCGAAGATTGCGATGCGAAGATTAGACCGCTCCCGGAATTCTGGCTCCGGCGAGCGGCT